CCCCAAAACCCCAAAACCCCAAAACCCCAAAACCCCAAATTTTAGAAAAATCGTTGATTTATTATTTACTATCCGAATTATGTTCCAAAACATGTCTGAAGAGAGACAAAGACCAGCATCCAAACGCCGATCCTTTACCAAAGCACAAGTTATGAAGAAAGGCAAGGAATTGAGCCCTAAAAGCCGTAGAAATACCCAGTCTCCAAAATTAAGGTGAGGCTTTGTCTAAAGAACAATAGTAAATTCTTGTATTTGAAAGAATTATTAGAAATATTTACCTAGAGTCATACTTTTTATTGATAATCCAATTTTCTTAAAATATGTAGAAGAATTGTAAGACAAAGAGAACAGGCATATTTATCAGCCTGACACTTTTGCCTCCTCTAAGAAACCTCTCTTACTCTCTGAGCCAGATTTCTATTTAAATAATGATTTGAGAATCCTTATCAACTTTAATTTAGCCAGTTTCTTGCCAAAAAGATGACTTTGAAACAAAAGATGGACTATTTCTACCATCCATATTCCACTAAGAAGCTTTCCTGGGACGATGTGAAGCAAAAATAGCCAGGATAACTGGAATTTGATATCTCAATTCGTGCTCAATAAACCTACTGAATACTTAAAGTCGGTATTTCAGAAGAAGAGGACGGATCTGACGAAGCAGATTTCAAGTGTAACAAAGGACACAGAGAAAATTAGCGTGAATCAGCTCAGATCCTCAGTCACTGCGAGTAACCTGAGTTTAGGGTCGCCTAAAAATCAAGATAGGACATCTGGATATGAGAGTAAGGCTTAGCTTCGAAGAATTCTTCGAGCATTTGATTCTTGCTTTGGCCCTCTCAATATTTACTTAATGAGCAACCATTCGCTAGATGTTAAAAATAAGCAGGCTGGTCTTGAAATTGTGTAAAATAATGATTCTCAAATGCCTCCTCAACTTTTCCATAAAACAGATGATGGAAGGTGGTTTATTATAAAACTCTCATTAAATATTTACACACGTTTTATGTGAAAAATATAGAACAAATTCTAGATGTATTTCTGACTTATCTCACTGGATATTTAATAATATGCTAATGTTTGAAGTAGTAGATGATCCCTTCTTCGAAATAACACCAACAGGAGATGATCAAACCATCCAAAAATCAACTGAGAATCACAGTTCAGGACTCCTACTATCCCCTCAAAAATGCCGCACCAAAAAGACCAGAATTCATCTAAAACCCAGCACTTCTGAAGCCTATAAAAAGACATCCCTCCTAGGTAAATATCGGTTAAAACCTCTTAAAATTTCTTAAAACCACCTAAAACTGCCTCTAAACCTTAGTTTTTAACTTTTTGTAAAACTTACCATAATCAACCTAATATGTTGTATAGTCAAAAGTATCTCTGCCTCCAAACTCTACTCAGCTCTTGATACTAAAATCCTTTGAAAGAAAAATCCTCAAAAATAGGTTTATTAGAACCAGGAATAATAAAATCGACTTGGCAAAGACCACAATTGGCCAGAAGAGCTACCTCTCCAAGATCCAGGACAATATGAAGAGAAATAGTAAGGCAGCTAGTGCTCCTGATTACCAGAACAAAACTCAGCTGATTAAGGTAAGCATCATTTAAATTTCAAAAGAACCTAAAATTCTTCTGTCTTAAGACTTCTAGTATTCCCAGAATGACTATAACCTATACCAGTCTCTAACTTTTGGTCTAGAAAAGAGTTATCAGAGATTCAGAAGACACTACAGAGACCTGCCGGGTTCCCCGGCAGCGCTCAAGAGTGCTCTTGATAAAGAAATTTAAGAAGGCTAAAAGTCCAAGGCCGAAACGAGATATCCTCGAGCATCCTAGATTGTTCTAATCCATTTTATTCATAAAAATTGTAAGCTAGGAACAAGTCTTGAGGGTCTTTAGCCAAATTAGTTTGCTAAAAAGAGGGCACGAACTGGTGGAATTAGCATTCTGGAGACTTTTGCCGTTTCAATATGAAAATAAATAGATGGGGTTTTGGGGTTTTGGGGTTTTGGGGTTTTGGGGTTTTGGG